TGAACAGTCTCTGTCTGCTGGGATGACAACTACACCATAGCTCAGTGGTTAGAGCATCGCTGGCTGCAAGCGAAGGTCCCTGGTTCGAGTCCTGGTGGTGACAGTCAATTTTTTCTTCAGACTTTTCCCGTTTGCATCTTTCCCTCAAACTAATGAATAGAACAGAACTTCAAAATACATGTCACGTGCTGATCAAAAACATTTCTCAAGGTGCGCAAGCTCCACTGCAGCGACATCAGAACACGGAGAACCCTACACCATCACTGACACAAGTGGTCTGGTTGCTGCAAATTGCTACTACTTCCTCAGCTTGATAAAGCCGGCAAGATATCCCGCATGTACACGTAGGTACAACAGTCGTCCCTCTATAAACCAGCACCCTCTATAAACCAGCACCCTCTATAAACCAGCACCCTCTATAAACCAGCACTCTCTGTAAACCAGCACCCTCTATAAACCAGCACCCTCTATAAACCAGCACCCTCTGTAAACCAGCACCCTCTATAAACCAGCACCCTCTATAAACCAGCACCCTCTATAAACCAGCACCCTCTATAAACCAGCACCCTCTATAATCCAGCACCCTCTGTAAACCAGCACCCTCTATAAACCAGCACCCTCTATAAACCAGCACCCTCTTTAATCCAGCACCCTCTATAAACCAGCACCCTCTATAAACCAGCACCCTCTATAAACCAGCACCCTCTATAAACCAGCACCCTCTATAAACCAGCACCCTCTATAAACCAGCACCCTCTGTAAACCAGCACCCTCTATAAACCAGCACCCTCTATAAACCAGCACCCTCTGTAAACCAGCACCCTCTATAAACCAGCACCCTCTATAAACCAGCACCCTCTATAAACCAGCACCCTCTATAAACCAGCACCCTCTATAAACCAGCACCCTCTATAATCCAGCACCCTCTGTAAACCAGCACCCTCTATAAACCAGCACCCTCTATAAACCAGCACCCTCTATAAACCAGCACCCTCTATAAACCAGCACCCTCTATAAACCAGCACCCTCTGTAAACCAGCACCCTCTATAAACCAGCACCCTCTATGAACCAGCACCCTCTATGAACCAGCACCCTCTATGAACCAGCACCCTCTATGAACCAGCACCCTCTATGAACCAGCACCCTCTATGAACCAGCACCCTCTATGAACCAGCACCCTCTATGAACCAGCACCCTCTATGAACCAGCACCCTCTATGAACCAGCACCCTCTATGAACCAGCACCCTCTATGAACCAGCACCCTCTATGAACCAGCACCCTCTATGAACCAGCACCCTCTGTGAACCAGCACCCTCTGTGAACCAGCACCCTCTATAAACCAGCACCCTCTATATACCAGCACCCTCTATATACCAGCACCCTCTATAATCCAGCACCCTCTATAAACCAGCACCCTCTATAAACCAGCACCCTCTATAAACCAGCACCCTCTGTGAACCAGCACCCTCTATAATCCAGCACCCTCTATAAACCAGCACCCTCTATAAACCAGCACCCTCTATAAACCAGCACCCTCTATAAACCAGCACCCTCTGTAAACCAGCACCCTCTATAAACCAGCACCCTCTATAATTCAGCACCCTCTATAAACCAGCACCCTCTATAAACCAAGACCCTCTACAATCCAGCACCCTCTATAATCCAGCACCCTCTATAAACCAGCACCCTCTATAAACCAGCACCCTCTATAAACCAGCACCCTCTATAATCCAGCACCCTCTATAAACCAGCACCCTCTATAAACCAGCACCCTCTATAAACCAGCACCCTCTATAAACCAGCACCCTCTATAAACCAGCACCCTCTGTAAACCAGCACCCTCTATAAACCAGCACCCTCTATAAACCAGCACCCTCTATAAACCAGCACCCTCTGTAAACCAGCACCCTCTATAATCCAGCACCCTCTGTAAACCAGCACCCTCTATAAACCAGCACCCTCTATAATTCAGCACCCTCTATAAACCAGCACCCTCTATAAACCAGCACCCTCTACAATCCAGCACCCTCTATAATCCAGCACCCTCTATAAACCAGCACCCTCTATAAACCAGCACCCTCTATAAACCAGCACCCTCTATAATCCAGCACCCTCTATAAACCAGCACCCTCTATAAACCAGCACCCTCTATAAACCAGCACCCTCTATAAACCAGCACCCTCTATAAACCAGCACCCTCTGTAAACCAGCACCCTCTATAAACCAGCACCCTCTATAAACCAGCACCCTCTATAAACCAGCACCCTCTATAAACCAGCACCCTCTATAATCCAGCACCCTCTATAAACCAGCACCCTCTATATACCAGCACCCTCTATATACCAGCACCCTCTATAAACCAGCACCCTCTGTGAACCAGCACCCTCTGTGAACAAGCACAGTTTTCAGTAGCCAAAATGTCCTTTCCATGCGCATTGCAGCAGTAAATCAGATTCGTGAATCCAAGCACCCTCTCTAATCCTGCAAAAAGTTTCCGTAGCACAAATGGTGCCGGATTGTAAAGGGACCACTATGCCGACCATGGAGTGAACAAGCCCATTGCGCATTGCCAAATATGGAAGGTATGAGTAATGCTTGTGAGTACGCTGGGATCAGCAATGCACTGTTCAACACCCCAGATGACCATGCCCAGGTGCAGGCGGCTGTGTGGGGTGTTTTATGGTTCAGATTACGCCATTGTGCAATGGGCTTATAGAAAAATCACGCGTACCTTCCTGGCACGATCGATGCGTAGTAGACCTCGAGAGTACCAATGCTGGCACCCCACATGTGGTATGCCATCGTGAACGTGCACTGGTAGCCGGCGGCGTTGAACGTCGGCGATACCATCTGCAGCGTGCCGAACGCAGCAAGGCCGCTGGCCTCAACGTGGGCGTAGAATCCTAACCAGCGAACAGAAACAGCAGCGGAATCATGTGTTGCACAATGATATCGTGTCAATGCATGTTGTACGCGATCTGTCACATACATTATAGTGGATGGAACAGCAGTTCAAAATTTCAAAAAATCATTCTAAACCGTCACGGAAACTAAAAAAACTGAAATTAAGAAATTCGCACAGACACCAAATGTACTTTGCAAACAAAAATAACCTTGGAGAGGTTGAGAAGGCATGAAAGTTTCCTCGTGAAAACCAGTTCACAATGTTGCTGGAGAGCCTGAAGTTGCTGCTAATACTGAGTGCTGAATACAGGCATCTGCCCTATCTGTCACTGTCAATTTGACCATCGTACATGTCCGGCAAAACCTGTAACGAAAGACCACCGTGACTAGCGACCAGCCTGATACTACAGACCACTTCGCCAGGCACGGACGGTCTCACATTCATAAATGGCTGTGCGGTGCAAACCTCTAACTAAGGACCACCTGCCACTAAAGGCCGCTTTCTCCGGCCCCACGGGGTGGTCGTTAGTCAGAGGTTTTACTGTAGTCTAAGATGCGACGACTTTTTTTGTTGATGAATTACAGGTTTTTAAAGTGCGACTTATACTCCGGAAAACCCATGACGTCGAGACCTCAGGTCGGCTGAGGGCAAAAAGCCTCACCATCACTATGCTCCCACTATGCAATTTTTTGTCTTTGCCTGTGAGCTGTGATCATTGTAAAAAAAACAAAAAAAAAACACGATTATAATGACTTTGTACATACCGGTTGTTGAGCCGGTGGTGTGATCGCGAGACGGTCCAGTGGAGACGCTGGGTGTGCTGCCACGGCGACGCTGGAAGTCCGCCGTGTCACTCTGCACCTGCTTCCAGCCGCAGAAGCCGGTCTGGTAGGTACAGACGCCGGCTACATACAAGAACACACAGACATGTGCAAGCATGGGCACACACACACACACACACACACACACACACACACACACACACACACACACACACACACACTCGGTTGGCCGTGCACAACGTCCATGCTCGACCACGGGCATGGCCCCTACACACATCTTAGTCTACACCTCTTGGTCTCAAGACTGGTTTGGGGAGATTCTGAGCAACCCTCGACAACCTTCCTTGCTTGGATATGGTTCGCTCTTCATTTCACATTTATTTGTTATTGGCAGTCGTTTGACGAGCCAGGAAGTGTTGAATAAATACAAAAACAAATCGGGACTAATTTATACGAGGAAGAAAAGAGCACAAAAAAGCTACAGATTACGCTATTATATATCCCCAACACCACTGCAGTTACTTTACAATCAGCTCATGCGATAACATTGCACGGCACTGACCAACGGTACTGACGTTCTACACCTAACTGGCAATCAGCTCTAGCCCATCTCGTAGCTCTTTGGCCCTCTTTCTTCTACTTATAAATTAATCCTTGGCTCTCCACAGGAATCTAATTACAAAAAGTCAAATAAGGACATCCTTCCTTACCTGGATACGGTCCCGGAGGAAAGGTTGGCGGCGATTGGGTGGTGGGAACGGGGCAGCCCTTTTCGTCGGAGCCGTCACGGCAGTCCGTGTCGCCGTCGCAGAACCACGAGTCCAGGATGCACTGGCCGTCGGCGCAGGCCTTCTGCCACACCGGGCAGGCTGCGGCCGTGGGCTTGGCTGTGAACGACGGGGCAAAGGGACAGAAGCAGAAAAACATACTCTTTACGAGAACTTTTTTAAATTTTTAAAATTTTTATTTTTTCCTGCAGCACGATCAGATGCTGCACAGCGGGGGCGGTGGCATATTGGATGGAAGTGGGGGCAAGTCCCTTCCATTTTGTTCCCCTTTGCACGTAGACCCATAGCACTGCATACACATTATCGCCAGAAAACTTACTAGCACAGCCAACCAGCGAAAAAGCCCGTGGCACATAATCTGCGTGCACATGCACACACGCGCACACACACACACACACACACACACACACACACACACACACACACACACGCCATGGTGACAGACATGGGCACGCACGCACGCACCTAACCACACATTCACACTTACCGTTGAAACAAGCCGGGTCGTAGCTGACGTCATCAATGGCAAACACGCCAGAGAAGAATGTGTTGCGCACAGCCTGCGCAGAACAGCAACAACCACATCGAGCTTACACAACTGACGCAAGGGCTGTGGAATCAAATAGACACAGATGTCCCCCCTCCCCCCCCCATCCACCCGTACATGCCCCCCCCCCCACACACGCACACGAACACCCCCTCCCCCTCCCCCCCCCCCACACACACACCTACACACACACACATAGACGCATAGCTAGCACAGCAGATATACATGTTGATAAGCTGGACACATCCCGCCATAGCTGCAAACACAAAACGCTTCACGCAAGGAGCAAGCACATACCTCAAAGGAGATGTTGAACGGGCCGGTGCTGGAGATTGGCTGCACTACGCGTGTCCATGACGATGACTGGGTTGACGTCGTCCAGAGAGCACTGCGACCACTGGCGGATTGCAGGACCATCTGCACCGGGGAGAAGCACACCATCAGAATGTCAAGCAAACGGAAGGCGGCAGATTCAAGCCAGACCCTCCATGCATATCGCTTGCACATGTTGCAAAAGAAGGCTCCACGAGCGGGATTCGAACCCAGCACCCCTGTCTTTCCGGGACAGTGCGCTACTGATTACGGTAGGCTACCAGGGAGATCACACAAACCCGTGGGTCCTTCTTGCTACACACATACCATGTCCTACACACATATTTGACTGTAGTGCCCCGACTCATGACACCCCTACTGTATAGCGACTTACGCGAACGTTGTCATGACACCCCTACTGTATAGTGACTTACGCGAACGTTGCCATGACACCCCTACTGTATAGTGACTTACGCGAACGTTGTCATGACACCCCTACTGTATAGTGACTTACACGAACGTTGCCGGTAGTTCCGCCGGCCAAGTAGTAGTAGAAGCGGACGGTGCAGGCGGATGTGGGCACGGTGGCCAGCTGGCTGGGCGTGACGAGAGCGACGACCTCGCCATTGCTGGCGCCACGCAGACCCAGCATCATGTAGTAGCCTATAAAACACACACACACACACGCACACACACACACACACACGCACGCACACACACACACACACACACACACACACACACACACGCATTTACGTAAATCAAGAGAGAAGGAACTCGTTTGAACATTGAGACGTGTCTGTTTCGCTGGTTCTCACAAACCATACAGAGTAATTCTTCACATACCGTATTATCTCTAATATAAGCGTGGTCCTTTATTTTTTCAATGTACCTCCGCCCCGTGCTATAATTGGAGACGTTCCTTTATTGGAGACTGTTCCATTATTATTTCAACCTCATTTCAGAGGCTTGTTGCCATGCCAAATTCATGTCAGACACACACATTTCATGTTTTTTTTGCCGGTACAGATAATGAATTTACACAGTGTGCTTATAATGGAGACTGAGCACTTTATTTTTTGAATGCCGGCCCAAGGTGTTCTATTATTGGAGACGTGCTATTATTGGAGACTGTGCTTATATTAGAGATAATACGGTACATATGACTACATGCTTGCAAGTGTGGCTGCCTTCCCCACACACTTCCATACCCTTACCTCACCAGCACAAGCTTGCTTTGCAGACCCTACTCTCCCTGCTGTTTTGTTATTGTATACTCTGTTGTCTTCTCCCCTTCTGACGAGTAGGTTGTGTACGTAGTAAAAAATAAAAATAAAAATAATCCCCCCCCCCCCCCACACACACAATACACGCTCTCCACCAGGGGGCGGCGGCCATGCTTACCCGTCGTGTTCTGGAAGGTGCTGTCGATTCTCGGTCCTCGGTTCAGACTGCCCTGGATGGCCTGAGTGCGTTTGAAGTTACCCACCTGCGCACTGCCATTCTTATAGCCGCAAAGTCCTGTCTCAAAGTTGCAGTTTCCGCTGATGAAGCCTGCAAATACACACAAACGGACGAGCGTGTGCCAGAGGAGAAACAATATCTCGTTTAGGGACGATCCAGAGATTGCAGACACTCAAATGTCACTCTATGGCCGGTCCTCTTGCGGAGAAAACCCGAGTCAATATGCTACTTCAGCAGAATGAAGGGAGATTTGACGGAAACTCCAGGGTAATAAATAACATTTTAGGTATCAGAGCAAAAGGCCAGTTAGGTGAACAGAAATTATAAATAAGGAGAAGCAGTTCCCTATTGGATTATGTGTGTCGGTATTTGTTCGGGCTTGTTGACATTCTAGGTATGAAGCAGATGCACCGAAAGTACCGAAAAAAAGTACACCGAACATTTGCGAAATTAATCCAGTGTTGTAACATGGGAAAATGGGGGCACAAGTTACGCGGTCAAGTCCACCAACTAAACCAGATTTTTGAACAGTCAGACGTGCACAATCTCGCACCAAACTGACAAGTATTTATCTTAATTCATGGACGCTGCCTGCCGTCGGGGGGTTTATGACCTGACGATAGCCCTTCCGATTACTCTCTCACATGTACCACAACAAAGAGGACTGATATTCGTCTTTACTCTGAAGAGAGTCTCAGAAAGAAGGCAAACACAGAACAACCCAGGCTACTCACTGCACGATTGGTAGCCTTCATCAGTGCCGTCGGCACAGTCACGACGCATGTCACATGCCGACGTGCTGGCAATGCACTTGCCACTGAAGCACTGGAACTGCGTCGGCGAGCATGTGGCCAGGGGACCTAGGCAGCACAAGACACACGCGCGCACATGCACACACACACACACACACACGCACACACACAGTACAATATTACCTTTATTCTCACGATGGCCGTAGCCAATAAGAGAGAGACAGCACTATGTGTTATCAATCAGAGTGGGTGCAATAAACCGGGAGAAACGGTGGCTAGTGGCAGCCGTGGTTTGGGTGCTTCATTTATGGGCACTGAGTACATGTACGCACGTGGTGTGCAGGAGGTGAAGGAGACGTCGTCGATGGCGATGACACCCTGGACGGAGAGCGGGCGGCTGGCCATGAAGAACATCTGCACCTGGAACTGCTCGCCGATCAGCTGGCTGCCCTGTTGCCAGGAAGCACCCTGAGTGCCAATCTTGCGCCACAGCACCTGTCGAGCAAACAAGCAAGCACAGGAATGCATTGGTGATAGGCTGATAGCAGGATAGAGCAATGATGTCATACTCGCAGAGCGCTGACATCACACGCACAGAGCAATGCAAATGTCATCACAGTCCATGACATCCACACACCACACCCCACACAACAGTTCTACACCAACGACATCATGTTCGTACTGCAAGGGTGGCATGGCGACAACATCATAGCCGCATAGAAATGACGTCACAATGACACATTTACCACATAGCAATGACATCATGATGACATCATAGCCACACAGCAGTGACATCACAACACACTAATAACATTTCTGATCATGCACGGAAGTCTCGAGATCGTTACCTGGATGGGTCGGTTGTCGGACCTCATCTCCAGGACCAGGTTACCAACGGAGAGACCGCTCATGTAGTACCAGAAGTTGAATGTACACAGAGAGCTGGTACGGCTGAACTTGGGCGACTGAAGGATGGCCTGATAGCCAGACGCACCGGCATCCAGACGTGCGAACATATAGAAACCTGGTGGGAGAAGGACACGGAAAGCCAAAGCAATGCCCGGGATTTACAAGTACGCACAAATGCCACTGGTTTACAAGAGCAAATCCACGGGTTAACGCATGCAATGCTACAGGTTTACAAGAGTAAATCCTGCCAAAAATAAACTGCACGGTGGGTACATCACGGGATACTGCCCCCCCCCTTGCCATCATACAGACACATGACCACCTGAAACACAGACATACAGACGCACAGACCGCCTAACACACAGACATACAGACACACGGCTTCCCTGACACGGACACCCCCCCCCCCACACACACACAGCCGTGCGGCTGCACTTACCAGCGGCAGTCTTTCTGGTGTGATCAACAGGTGCCACTTGTCCGCTGTATGGGCGGGTGGCTGAGTGACGGGCCCAGTAGAAACTGTCTCCCTTCTGTGTGTTACGCCAGTAGCAGTCGTCGATTTCAAAGCTGCACGACGTCGCTACACACGCCGACAACACACAGTAGAAAGCACAACACACACACACACGCATGCACGCACGCACGCACACACACACACACACATGCACGCACACACACACACACGATCCAGCATTTAATCTACGTGCAAGTACAAGTCACCGGCATCGCTCCAACACACAGCAGAACGCTTGGCCAAAAACAGAAAGGTTAACGGCTTAACGCACACTGCATAGCAAAGCATACAACGAGCAAGAGACCAGGGATGGCCCCAATTCAAACTCTCCTCTACAAGCAGCCCGAAGCAGTGCAGCACCATCTCACCCCATGCTAGCCCCATGTGCGTCTGCCCAGTGTTGACTCCGAGACCCACGGCCGGACGAGCTGCCCAGGCCTCACCACCACTGCCGTTTCTGTGCTGCTTTCTCGATACATAGGTATGTACACTGTTTATCATGTGCACATTCACATGTCTAAAGGTTTGTGATTTTTCAACAAAAAAAATTAAAAAAATGTGCCTGCCGGTGAGTTGTGGATCTTGTAAAAAAGAAAAACAGAAAAGAGGAAGCAGCGGGTAGGCTTACGGCATTGCAACTCGTCGGCACCGTCGGAGCAGTCCTTGATGAAGTCGCAGACCTGTCGAGAGTCCAGGCACTTGCCGCTTGAGCATTGGAAGCCACTGCAGGCGGATGGAGCTGAGAAAGAAGACGAGAGAAAAAAAGCATGCAACGAGGAAATAGAGTAGCCGACGAGACCAGACGCTAGCCTACATGTGCTGGCGCTTTCCTCCCTGAAACCCCCTCCCCAACACTGAGCAATGGCCAGAAAGGGGTGAACGTCGTGTGCAGTTGCAAGCATGCACACACGCACAGCGAGTGCAGAACAAGCTGACAGTCGCAAATCCAACCGAGATCTCCATCAACGCTCAGCTAGACACACAGGGGGCGTCGGAAGGTATTCGACATTAGTGCGGCCATGAATGGGTGGAGGGTCCAGATGGTCCTCCCCCGGGAAAATCAAAGGGAAATTTGGCCCAAATAGCCCATATTCCATTGCTTCAAAAATCCCAAGATGAAAGCATTCGTAAAAAAGAGAGAAGAAAACACATGAGAACGAGTTATCCAGCAACTATCTACGACTGTTACAAGATAATAAACAGTCAGAAAGTGCGATAAAAGTATTACGAAAGTATTCGTGCGGCTTTGGCCACATCTTCCGCATCGCTTCTGACGCCCCTGTCACAGGACGACAACCAGCTTGGATTTTTGCTTACGTGCTGTGGGGCACGTTCCGAAGGTGAAGTCGTCCAGAGCGATGTCGCCGGTGTAGGATACGCCGCGAGTGCCGCGCACGAGCACGCTGAACGCGGGCCCAGTGCTGGGTAGGGTGACCATGCCGGACTTCCAGAAGTTGCCCTGGCTGCCCACCAGTTGGAACAGACTGACGGGGCTGGAGCCGGGTGAGCTGGACAGCGTTCCAACCTGCACCGGTGAAAACGCAAACGAGACAACGACAAAAATTAAAATTAAAAAAAACCAATTCGCTCGCTCGCCCTTCGAATGTCCCTCCGGGTGATGGGTTTAGCTTAGTACCAGGCATGCAGAGTTGCAGTTTGCATGACGCTGTTCACAACTGCAGTACTGTTGGACGCCGAAGAACTGGGGGGGGGGGGGGTCAGCCTCCTAGCCTAGGCCTTTCTTATTTTCATGTAATGCAGTCGATGCACAATTAAGTCATCGTGTATACATTGGCATGTTGTGCTTGGTGTACAGCCTGGTCGTTCTTTGGCGTTCCGCTCTTTGGCGCCCGAGAGTTCTGTAAGTGCAGCAGAGGATGATGTCATTGTATCCATGCCAACTGCCCATAATGCCATCAATGCTTACGTCAAGACTGCCGACCGTGGCACCGAACATGTGGTACCAGAAGTTCAGAGAACATCCAGTGGTTGATGGCGTTAGAACAGGTGACTGTAGGATGGCGTACTGACCGACAGAGCCCAAGCTGGTCTCCAGGTAGATGTACTGGCCTGCGTGTGTGTGTGTGTGTGTGTGTGGGCGTGCGTGAGAGAGAGAGAGAGAAATAGAGAGAGAGAGAGAGAGAGAGAGAGAGAAAGTGTGTGAGAGAGAGAGAAAAAGAGAAAAGGACACAATTGCCATCACACTACCGAATAGATGAAAAATACCCTCATCAACTTTGGCTGCCAAAGTTGTAAGGCCAGAGAGCGCATGTGGTTGAGGGGACTTGCTTTATTGATAAACAGGCCGAAAGCTGCTGCACACATATTTATCTACAGTGTAATAAAAGCAGGAATACTTACCGCTGCCTGAGGTATGATCCATGCCAGGCCCGGTGTTGGAGCTCGGCGATGGGCCCTTCTGCAAGTCCCAGTCTAGCTGGTTGAAGTAGGAGTTGGTCCAGGCGCAGTACCCCTTGTCAAAGTTGCAGTCGGCCTTGTACACAGCTGAACAGAACACAACCAAGCAACGAAGACCAATTCCTGTTTTCCGGCGTATCTCGATGTGGCCATCTACCCTTCCATTTGTGTGCTATTGCTATTCTTGCCTATGTCTCTGTGTATGCTAATATGTGGAGCGAGAACACAACCAAGCAACGAAGACCGTTCCCGTTTTCTGGCATATCTCAATGCTGCCATCTACCCTTCAGTTTGTGTGCTATTGCAAATGTTGCCTATATCTCTGTGTATGCTAGTACGTGTGGAGCCAAGCAGCGAAGACCAATTCCCGTTTTCTGGGGCCTGATGCTGTGGCAGGAAAAGCCGAGGGGCTAGTCAAGTGCACCACTCTCTCCCGCATCACGCTGAATACAGGCGACCTCCCCAATAACAACAACTCGCGAATAGCGACACAATCTCCGGGCCTAGTGACCATTTGACAGCATGCCTTCAACCTCACGAATAACGACAAGAACGGTCTAGGCTGGAACTCTGACACCCTAGTTCTTTGGCGACAGACAGTATTGTACTGTACTAAAACCCAAACAAAAACAAACAGAAACTATCATACGTACGTGTGGTTGTGGGAGCGGGAGTGACGGCAAAGCCGCTGCATCCCTGGCTGAAGGAGATGTCGTCAATGGCGATCTCGTCCTTGATGCCGGAGCCACGGTTGGCAGAGATGACCAGCTGCCAACAAACACAGAAACGCAAATCTCGTTGGAGACGTATTGCAAAACGTTTGATGACTAACTTACACCATATCATAGTGGTAGAGCATCGCTAGCCATAAGCCAGGGTCACAAACTCACACACTCACACAAACACACACACGCACACCCCCCCCCCACACACACACGCATACACACACACACACACACACATACACACACGCATACCCCCCACCCACACCCACACACACACGGCCTTACCCTGAAATCGGAAGTCACGAAGGAGTTGAGGCGGACCTTGTCGCAGAGCCATTGATCACCTTGATCCCCCGTCCTGCTCCAGGCCGTCTTGGTTTCGGTGCCAGTGCCCACGCTGACGTTGAGCGTTCCGAGCTCCGAGCCGTACATGTGGTAGCAGAAGCTAGCGTAGCAGGCAGCATACGGTGGTGCCATCAGCGGAGTAGCAATGCTGGCAACGTCGCCCGTATTGTGTGTGCGGTCGGCCTGAATGAACAGGTAGTGACCTGAAGGGTACAGTGTAGTAGTGAAGTGTGGTCAGTGGGGCGAATGAAACGAACAAAAACGACATCGGCATGCACACGCATGTACGTGCACACGTGTAAGCATGCAGACACAGACACACAGACACACAGACACACACACACACACACTATACTACTACTACTATGATACAGCTACCCTAAACGGGTCACGCCGCCCTCCACTCAAGCATGAGCACTATGAGGGGCAGTGGCAAATAAATAGAATCAGCTAGCAGAACTGGCAAAACAGATGAAACAATGGAGCAGAACGGACGACTACTGTACTGTAACAACAACCTGACAGCTACAGTGACAACGACTGCAAATGAACAGGAAGGAAAAAAAAATTCAAAATTCCACGTCACGAAAAAACACTGTCCACGAAAGAATCCACCAAGCAAAAGGAGTGTGGGCATCCGAAATCCCACCAGGACTCCACTAGCAGTTCTTCCACGTTGACGATGTAAGCGGCAGGGCAAGGCCTCACAAATCCGACAGACTTCCACAACGCTTGACCAGTGCACTCATGACGACGAAAGATTGAAGTTTCAATTCCCACCATTCCGCCATTGGGACCTTCCTCTCCGCACTCGCTCGTCCACTCCACTGAAAACAACGAGTTGTTCCAGCACTCCACCAGCCAATCCGCAATTCCCACCACTGCATTCTTCGAGCTTGGATTCTTCACAGCACTCGAGGGACAGCTACTCCACTGCGAGTGGTGGACCACGGCCGACGCAGCAGTGACAATATCAAAGTAAATTGTCCTGCAAGCTACATCGCGATTCCGCGCTCCAATCATGCAGCACTACCTTGGCAGTGTGCGAGGGTGCTCCAGGGTCGACTCTGGCTACGCCAGAGTCGCCCTGGGCAGGCAGAAAACTTGGGAGAAAGCCAAGAACACGGAGCTCAGAAAGTGTAACCTGCTCCCAAGGAGCACAAAACACACACACACACACACACACACACACACACACACACACACGTGAACAGAAAATAAACGCAAGCAAACACAATCACCCAAACACTCAGCGCTCCTGTTACAAGTTGAGCGCGATTGAAGAGAACAAAAACATGGCTGTCGCGTGTGGTCATGTGACAGATGTTAAAAAAATTGTTTTACAATGACACAGCTCACATGTGAAACCACTCTAAAGGTCGAGCGCTCCACCCCGTGTACGTACCAGTGGCGGCCATTGTGGTGTGATCGACCTGCGGTGCGGTGGGGCTGATGGCAGCCAGACCACGGCCAACGTTCCAGTCGATGTCGTCCGTCTGCAGCTGCACGTAGCCGCACAGGCTGTTCTCAAAGTCGCAGCGGCCGTCGATACGAGCTGGAGAATAGCGGGGAGGACAATAACAACAGCACACAGCACCGGCAGAAATGTTGTTTGAGAGGCACCGACTAATTTACTCGGAAACAACAGCCACTACAAGCCCATACATGCCCAGGTTTTTAAGTACTAGTTTTTTTAGTTTTTGCGTTGTTTTATTGCATCTCCGCTGTACAACTCATTTCTCCTGTTCCTCTGTTCGTGCCTGTACAGAGCAAAAGAAGTGTGCTTCAGGAGGCAGGTTTTGATTGGTTGGGCCACACCATACTGATAGCCTTCCATACAGTTTGTGTATGTTATGGAGGGTGTGCACACACGACCTCCTCAGCAGTTAACACACCTTGGTGGCCGAAAAGTTGGTCCAACCATGGGCTAACCAACCGGACCGATTGCGCCGGGCCTGTTCTCCCGCATTATGTTGTGAACATACTTTTATTTATGTTCATCATCTGCATCTACATTGATGATGCCCTCCTGGGTGAAAATTTGGACAGTTTCAACTGTACGTGGTGTAGCCAAGGACTGTTTGTGTGTTACGAGTTGGGCGTACTGAAAATCTGCAACTACATGCACACTCTTATCATAGATTCAATTACAAACAATGTCGACGAGATCAGACTCACAGCACTGCGACTCGACTTCGTCCAGCCCGCTCGGACAGTCCAGGGTGTAGTCGCACACGCGCAGAGGATCGACGCAAGATCCGTCCGGACACTGGAACATGGTGGTCGGGCAACGCGGTGCTGGCAGACCTGCAACACAGAAATGACAATGATGTCATCGATCAGCATCAGCACTAGCAGCAATAACAATGACATCATCGACAAGGATCAGCAGCAATAACAATTACGTCATCGACCAGCATCACCAGCATCAGCATCAGCAGCAGCATCAGCAGCATTAGCATCACTGACACACAACGTTTGCTTTTGCCCGAGGTCGGATATCATTGAGCTTGCCAAAACACAGCACAGGCAAAGCCATACAACTCCCATTCCACCTCCCCCCCCCCCCTCCCCTCGCACACATACTTGGGTTGCAGTTGACAAAGCTGAAGTCGTCAATGGCGACATCACCACGGAAACCGCCGGACTGGCTGTGGACGTGACGCACGACGATGACGAAGCTGGAGTTGGTGACGATGGGAATGCTGGCAGAGCCACTCAGCCATTGGTCGGCATGGGGACCTGACTCGCGCCAAATTCTCGACTCGGCACCTGGGAAAGCAAAACAGAGAGACGGCATTAGCAACTTAGCAACAGTTTAGGGGCAAGTTTTAGGTCAATGTAAGAACAGAGGCCGTGCAGCATGTCTGTGTATGATGGTCCTACCGGCGGGGCCGAGGTCTATGCAAGCTACGTATGCATTCTTTATTTTACTTTGCAAAGTCAAACGGGATCATTGCCCAATACAGCAATATGATAGCGAAGAGTGGGGGAACACCAATGGGTTTTACCTGTGTCTCTGTATCGGACCATGATGTTCAGATCTCCGCAGTCCTGGCCGTACATGTGGTACCAGAAGTTGAATGTGCACTGCGGTCCGGAATAGTAGACAGTCTTACTGAACAGGTCGGTCACGGTGCCACCCAGAAGGTCAGACGTCTCCACGTAGATGTAGGATCCTGAGTCCGGTATGCGCACACACAAATACACACACACACACAAATACACATGCACACACACAAATACATACGCACACACACACACACATGATGGACAGACAAACAGACACAGTTACACGACGTCAACAGACACACATACTTGTAGCAAATATCGAGGCAATTCAGCCACAAAATGCATACGCACACACGCAAACACACACACACACACACACACACACACACACACACACACACACACACAGAGCAAGTAAAAATCAGCTACGAAAACCTGCCAAACGTGAGACACGATTGTCAGCAGAGAACCTTTACTGTGCAGACCACGTACCATGCACCATGTACCATGTACCATGTATACGCCCGTCGCAAGAGAAGCACGCAAATCTGCAAATGCACTGGATGTGCACCCGCAGAGTTTCTCTTATAGCAACGATAAACCTCACCACCACTGCCCCGATTCAGGTTGTGCGTGCTTCCCCTAGCTGCAGCTCATGTTTGGAATTTATGTGGTCTTTGTAAAAAAAAAGAGACAAAATGATAGCAGATGCCTTATTTGACTTACCACTGCCACCGTGACCAGATTTGGGCCCGGTGAAGGATGAAGCAGTGCTGCCTGTCTTCAACGTCCAGTCATTGTTAGGTGTGCTATCGGTAATGCTGTTTGTCCACGTGCAGAACGTGTTCTGGTCGAATGTGCAGTTCTCGCGGTAGTCTGCGAACACACACGCACGTGCACATACAGACACGCGCGCATGCAATCACACACACACACACACACACACACACACACACACACACACACACACACACACACACACACACACACACACACACACACACACACACACACACACACACACACACACACACACACACACACACACACACACACACACACTACTACTACTACTATTGACAGCTGCCAGAAATGGCCACGCCGCTCCCCAAAGGGAGGTACTGTCAGAGAGGTTAGGGGGGAGGAAGGCAATGCTCCAAGTGGCGTTCCAGATCTTGCCGCCTCCGGAACCGTCGGTTGTGGCACACACACACACACACACAAGCACATGGATGCACAGACACATAGACAGACACACAGACACACACAGACACACGCAGACACACACACACACACACACACACACACACACACACACATGCACAGACACACACACACACACCGTGAGCAGATACATACATACATACATGTACACAGATGCACGCGCATGAAAATACACAATGCACACACATGCACACGCACACACCGAAGTTCTTTATAACAGAAATGCACTCAGAAATGCACTCGGAAAGGCACTTACAACAGACAAGCAACTCGGCATGACTGACATGTTGTATGACAGTATGAGTGCACTTGGCTATTATGCAGCCCTACGGGATGAAGTTGGTTAGTATCGTTATAAACGAAAACCACTCGCTATACAAAAGGGTCAATTTTGTACGGGTTCAAACAGGACACATGGACACTGGTTAGCGATAGCTTATCACGAAATTTATATGAGAGTTTGCTATATGAGAGTTTGCTATATGAGAGTTTGCTATATTATGAGAGTTTGCTATATGAGAGTCTGCTATATGAGAGTTCGCTATATGAGAGTTCGCTATATGAGAGTTTGCTATATGAGAGTTTGCTGAATGAGAGTTTGCTATATTATGAGAGTTTGCTATATGAGAGTTTGCTATATGAGAGTTCGCTATATGAGAGTTCGCTATATGAGAGTTTGCTATATGAGAGTTTGCTGAATGAGAGTTTGCTATATTATGAGAGTTTGCTATATGAGAGTTTGCTATATGAGAGTTCGCGATATGAGTGTTTGCTATATGCGAGTTCGCTATACAGTCAAACGTCTTTAGGACAAACACCAAGGGACTGATGATTTTGTTCGCAATACCGCGAGTTCTTCTTATAAATACTGTATACCCAGCGAAAGCCCACTGATTTTATCATTTTATCCAAAAGAGCACTAAATTCTTGACCTTCTAAAACGAAAGCTTGCCTTATCAGTTTATCAGTGATCTTCCTAACCAGGTTTTCACTGTACAGTAAAATCTGTGACTAACGACCACCCCTTGGGGCCAGAGAAAGCGGTCTTTAGTGGCAGGCGGTCCTTGGTTAGAGGTTTGCACCGCACAACCATAATACGAATGTGAGACCGTCCGTGCCTGGCTTAATGGTCTGTAGTACCAGGTTGGTCGTTAGCCATGGTGCTCTTCAGTTACAGCTTTACTGTACTCAAGTACATGTATGTGGAGTCGACTGTCTGCTGAGTCCACTAATCCTGGACACCGCAGGGAAAGCCCCCCCCCCCCCCCCTCGACAAGGGACAACACTTACCCAAATAGCTTCCCGGTGGAGCGGGGGCAGGAGTAACCGTTGGTGGTACTGTACACGGCAACACAGAAGAAGATTGCAGAGAATGTCACAGAAAAGAAGAGAGAGAGAGAGAGAGAGAGAGAGAGAGAGAGAGAGAGAGAGAGATAGAGAGATAGAGAGATAGATAGAGAGATATATAGAGAGAGAGATAGAGATAGAGAGAGAGAGAGAGAGAGATAGATAGATAGGGAGAGGAGATACAGTTGATGCATGCCATTCTAGTCTACTGCTGCAAAGATTCCCGCTCCTCTCGCATCCCACGTTACACAAACTCGACGCGCAACCTACCTGGACAGTTCGCCTCGTCGCTGTTGTCACCGCAGTCGTTGACGCCATCGCAGCGGTACACGCTCCACACGCAGCGCTTGTTGGAGCACGTGAACTGGTGGGCGTAGCACTGCGTCGGGGTGAGCTGATCGCTGCAACCGCTGGTCATCAGGATGTCGTCGACGGCGATGTCGCCCTGGAAGCCGCCCTTCGTGGCCTCGAAGATCAGGTTGTACGGGATGGTGGTGCCCACGATGGCCACGGCGCGCAGCCAAGTCTGTCCCTTGTTGCCAGAGGCCCTCCAGAGCTGTACCTTGCCGTTAGCGTCGTTGCGGAACAGCTGCGGTGCAGACAAACATACGTATATTATTTATTAGGAAAAAATTGGAGGCGTATCCAATTTCCAAAGAAAGGTGCAGCACCGACGCAATCCACACAGTCAAGTAAGCTAATATATTAACCAAACGTTTTTTTAATTACTTTTTTATACGAAATATTATTACAGGGTGCGACAGAGCTCTCGGCCAGTGAAGAAAATGTTGAAGGAAGGAATAAGAGTTGTCGATATCGTCCACGGAAGTATCCTCGCAGTGGTGATGGTTGTGTGTAGGAGGGTCTAGTCGGCTAAAGAGCGCAGTGTAGTGGTGGAGGTCATACTCGACATTTTATGCGAAAGTCCACTATATTCCCGAATAGGCACGAAAAGTGGTGATGGGGGCCAGGCTGCTCTGCCGACCTTAAAGGTCTCGGTATCTATGCGGACAAAGCGTGCCTTAATGTAGTTAACAGGCGCGTATGCAGGGTCACCTCTAGGGGGGTTTCCAACCGAATCCCAAACAAATGAGTTTTTAAAAGTTTTAACCCTTTCTACAAGTAAAGAGCCCTACAGTCCATTTCAAAACTATAGACGCGTACCAAGGCAAAAACCGTTATGCCAGCATCTATACCACATAAAATCTGTGATCACTTTGTGCATAAATTTTTCCAAATTGGGCGTCTGTTATCCAATCCTTTAGAAACTATAATTATGAGAGTAATTGTGGAGCGATCCTGAGCAATATTCCGAAAACTATTCTCAAAAAGTTCCAGCCAAATTTGAAATATTTCAAAAACCCTACGCGTCTATAGTTTTGAAATGCACTGTAGGAAATTTTCAAAATTATGCATTTTTTCGTGTTGTTTGGATTATAACTTCAGTTCTACTCACTCAATCTTCGTTATCTTGGGCTTCCTGGAAGTGGAAAGGTACTAGGGAGAGAATGAGGTCAACCATGATAGCCAGGACACAGTACAGTCATGTACATATCCAGCGCTATAGGCTATAGCGGTAGAGTGCAGCGACGGTGCGAAAAATGCCCCAAACAGGCCCAAGCGCGTCCTGCTCCCGCGATTTCGTTTTTCTCGATCGGAGAGTTTCGATTTTTTGCTGTGTACTCTTGAAAATATCACAAGTGAAGCCCCTGCAAATTTGAGCAAATCAGCGCGACGAAAATCTCGATACTCAAGTCGCACTGCGCGCTTTTGAAATTGCCGAGATCGCGGCTCAACTTACGAATGATTTATCTCACGATACATTGCTCGCAGCGCTTCGCAAATTGTTTCAACCGACAGCTGAGAGTTTTCTATTCGACCTGGATATTTGGATCGTTGGATTTGAGCGAGATTTGACTGAGTTACGATCTTTTGAAGTTTTGCATTCTTG